CATGAAAGAGTTCAGATTGTCAAATACATAATTACCGTAAGAAGAATAACGTAATATCATTATTGAAAAACACTAATATCCATTCTTTCAACATGTTCATTAAGCCCCTGTTTAGCCGCATTAAAATTTTAATACATTTTTCTCTCTCTTCTTTTCAATCACACATTCTCTAATAATATTATCCATAAATTTCAAAAACTTTTCTTTCTTTTTTAACCATACATTCTCCAAAAAATTACCATTTCAAAATATATTATTTCCAAAAACCTCATTATGATGAGGACCAAACAATAGCTAAATGCCTTTGGCAGCAATCATTTAGTCAATGAATCTGCAACAATTGGATTGGTACTAATATGCTCAATTGACATTATTTCTCTCTGAACTCCTTCGTTAACAGCAAAGCATTTCAATTCTATGTGCTAAACATTTTTTGAATACTTGTCATTTTCAAAGAAAAAAATGTTGCAGAGTTATCACAATAAATTCTCAAAGTCCTGACAATATAATTAATAATTCCAAGTCGCGAATAAAGTTCCCCACCATAATCCATAAACTGTAGCCTTAAAATATGTCACATGGTGAATGCAACAATGACGATTTGTCTTCCACTTTTCCATGAGATTGTTACTCCAACTATTAGGAACAAGTAAAAACAATGAATTTCCTTGTATTAACACATTCTGCAAAATTCGGATTTGAATGTCCAATCACTGTAAAATGATATGACCTCCTACAAGTGAGCATGTAATTTTTCGTTCATTCCAGATACCTCAATACAATTGTACAAAAAGAATGAATAAATGTACAATTTAAATGAAAGATCTTATAAAATAATATGAATTTAACGCTATAATAGTAAGTTATTGCAATATAATTGTTAGAAATGTATGTGTGTATTGTGTATTATATATATATCAAAATTTAAATTAATGTCACAATGATATGTAATTTTACTTTCTATGTATCATATTAATATCCATTCAGTTAATAAATACTGTCGAACTATAAACGAGAAAAATACATAGTGTTGCATATGCAAACACTTACATGAAGTTTAGAAGAAATTTTGAAGGTTAGAAACACGGAGCTTTCATTCGTTTTTCTTGTGATTTCAAGAACTTTAATACCGCAACAAAAAGGATAAACTACCAGCCTAGGAGGATGACTTTATAAAGGGCTAAGAGGAATTACATTCCCATGTTTACATCTCTGAGCATAAAAGATTTTGAAACCAACCCATGAAGTAAAAAGTAAGCATTGGCTAGTCTAGCCTGAAATGACCACAACTACACCACTCTACTAAAATTACACTATCATCATACGAATGCCCAAAAGAGGGTTGGATCGTTAGTCAATTTCAATTCAATCAGGATAATATCCCTTCATAAAACGCACCTTTGAAGTGAAATTCCCAGAGGTTTTAGGCTGATCCGTTATATCCTTTTACAATGATATTTTTAGCTAGCATCTGGCTATTGACATGCGAGTTTTACGGACCTACTAGACTAGAAGTTTCTCAAGCTCAAGTATTTACTTTTCTAATTAGAAACCAATGTCTTGGGACTAATTTAGGATTCGCTAAAGGACCTACTAGTTTAGGTAGATAAATATATAATGTGTTCCCAATCGGAGAAGAAGAAATTTTGAAGGTTAGAAACAACAGAAATTTCATTTAAAAAAAAAGAATAATTGTAAATGTGATAGGAACATATTTTGCTTTTGTTGTAACTAGAATGTTGATGATGATGATAATAATAATAATAATAATAATAATAATAATAATAATAATAATAATAATAATAATAATATTGGTTTAACTTCCTCCAGAGGATACAAAAACAAGTTTAAATTTATAAAATTCTTGTTTCTGAAGTATTTGTACAAATGTATGAGCCCACATAATCTGTATATCAACCAATTTATAATTATAAAGAAGCGATAAACCATACATTCATTAAAGGAAGTGTAACACATCCATTTCTTCCCATTTCTTCAACAATCAATTGATGGTCCAATGTTCATGGAGTTTTCAGTTTCAACATTTATAGAAGTCTTAATTCGACCGTTGATTGGAAAATTGGAAACTTAGGCCATAGCTTGAGGGAGCTTGGCTATAAAGAGACATGTTTGGTCTTTAAGTTCAAACACATCAAACAACATAAAATAAAAAATTTGTACTATCAAATTCGGAGTGTTGGAGAGCTTATAAGTGTCTAAGCCACAGCATACAAAAGCTTGTGGAATATCATCAATGGCCGAGGATATGATCTCGATCTATGGGTTTTTGATTTTTCTATCTAATTTGTTTCCGCATAGTTGTTTTGGATCGATTTTCAGTCTCATATTCGGTATCAGAGCACCATATTATCTCTTCCTTGGTGTTTCACTCTTAATCTACAAAATTGTCTTCTCTAGCCAAATTTTGTTTTAGGAAATATATTCGGATTTCTCCATAAAATCACTTTTCTAGTTTCTGTATGATTTTAAAATTTGAGATTTGGGTTTAAGAAGATGACCATTTTTCAAAACAAAGGACTGTTGTTTTCTAAATGGGTGTTTTCCTTAATTAGGCAAGTTTGGAATTATATAAGTATTTTCGGCATCCTTTGCAGTATATTATTGATCTGAACTTATATAAGTAATTGCTTGGCCCATTTAAAAATCACAAGCAATTATTTATCGATGAAATTACACCTACACCGGAATTAGATTTCCAATTTCAGAAATCAGATCACTAGTTTAATTTTTCAAAAATTAGGTTTTTTATACCTAATTAAGTACTAATTATAAAATTTCATCCCAATTAATAATTTCATCCCAAAATCAAAAACCTAAATTCATCTCTTTCTATCTCTCTCTCTTTCTGTCTCTCCGCCGTCTCTTGTTCTCCCTCCTTTGTATTCTTCTTGCCGTCCGTCGCCATCTTCTCTCTTTTCCCTCTCCGGAGACCACCGTTCTTCTCGCCCTCTCATACTTCTCTCTTCTATCCGACGAAATAGCAGAGTTTTGCACTGCGGATTTGGGCAGATGGTGGAGTTTTCAACGGAGGATTTCGGTGGTCTATGTTCTATGAGGCGGTGCTCAATTCTGTTACACAGCGTCGATCTGTGATTCAGTATGTGTGGAAGACGACGATGAAGCTGATTTGTGTGATTCAGTATGTGTGGAAGCCGATTGCGTTGGTGGGGTTGCGACGGTGACTATGGTCATTGGTGTAGGTGGTGGAGGTGGTCAATTTGTAGTGTATGTGTGCTGATTTGTGTGTGTGATGGTGGTGGTGGCATTACCCTTGTGCATTGGTGTTTGGTGGGTAGATGATGGTGGTGGTGGTCGATGGTGGTGGTGCTGTGGGTAGTGTTGGTGGTGGTTTGGTGTGGTTGTGGTGATGGTGGTATTTTTGTGGTGGAGTTTCTGTTTGTGGTGGTATGTACAGTGGTGTTGTTGGTGCGAGGCGGCGTTGGTGGCAGTGACCGGTGGTTGTTGGTGTTGGTGTTCGCGGCGGAGACGACGGCGGTGTTTTGTTGGTGGTGGTCACAAATGATTTGTTGATTATGACCAATAAATTAGTTGGTGTGTGACCAATAAAGAATAGGTCAAATGGCCAAATTCCCCTTTATTCTCCCTCCGTCCTGTCGTTCTTCCTTGGAAACATAACCTTCCGGCAATTTTCCTCCCTACGCACTTCTGTGAAGACTCGCGATGATGGTAGCGGTCGACTGCTCAGAATTCTCCCTTTCACGTCATCCAAGTTCCGATTCAGTCCGGCTAGGAACTCATAGACTCTCTCGTTTTCCAGTTACTTGTTGTATCACACGCTGTCGGCCAAACAATCCCACTTTTCATCTGTGTTTTGATCGAGTTATTGCCACAAAGAATTCATCTCGAGGTAGTATTCTGTCACATCCTAATCTCTATGTCTCGTTTGCCACAGTTTGGTTTTGATTTCGAATATTTGGGAAAAAATCTTCTGTGTCAGAGTACATATCACGAACATCATCCCACACGTCTTTTGCTGTTGGAAGGAAAAGGTATGTTTTCCCAATTGTGAGTTTCATGGAGTTAATCAACCACATAGTCACCATCGAATTTTCCGACCTCCATTTTTACAGAAGGGAGGAGTCGGTTGAGGCAGGTTGATGCTTCTCTCCAGTAAGATACCCTAGTTTTCCTTTCCCGTCGAGAATAAGCTTAATTGATTGAGCCCATTATTGATAATTTTTCCCGTTCAATTTCTCCACAGTTAACTGGAATGATGTGTTGTCCATTCCACCTGAGCCCATGGACTGGAGGGATTCGACCTCACTGATTTGAGGCTCGAGTGTCTTCGACTTATTGCTGTTTTCTGTTTGTTCTTCCATTGGCAGTTGATGGCTAGGTCAGAAACGAATTAGCTCTGATACCATGTAAATTGGAACACAAAGAGAATAAATGTTTTCTTTATTCATATGTATTAATATTTACAAATCACAATATAACCTTAAAAAAATAAACGAGCCAGTTGGGGAGGCACTGTTCATGCCAGATGTCAAGAATTTGAATCGTCAACCAACACGACGCCGTTCTGTTAACTGCCTTTTCCTACTACTTCACACCACTTCTGCTTACCATTTTCAATTACCGTCTTCTCCTCCAAATTTCAGTCGGCCAAGAAATTGTAGGAAATTCAGCCGATCAATAAGTAGAGAACAATATTTACAAATAATTAAGAACAATAATTAAGAATAATATTTACCAATAACGATTCTGAACAATAATTTGAGAAATTCGGCAAGGAATTGAGTCGGTGAGCACCCAAGACTAATTTTCTTGGCGACGTTGATCTGGGCGGTTTCCGGGTCATGATTTTGACCGGATGCAAGTGACAATTGAACTTCAAACTCCTCATTCAAGAAATTAAATCCTACTATTAGAATTTAAATTAGAAACAGAACTCTTATTTTCCCGTGAATTTGGAGCAGGTTGAGTTCAAATCGAGTTCTAGTCAGATGAAGGTTAAGATGGCAACGAAGATTGAGACAGTCACTCAGGTAGTAAAATCTATAATGTTGGTTTAATGTATGCACAGTAAAAAAACCACTATGGGTTTACTGATTTCGGGTGTAATCATAATTTTGTTGATGAGAACTAATTGTTGTGTGAGTATGCAGAGGATAAAATTGTTTCATGCCCCTGGAATATAATTTCATTTTGTTCTGAATTTGAATTTCACTGGTTGGCAGAGTAGAGAACTGGAGAATTATGTGTGTATAAGGAGTTAAAGTACTGGAGATTAGAGTACGGGCACCAGCGTGCGTGCCTCCGTGCACGCGAACGGAGACACGACGTGCCTTCGTCCAAGTGCACGGAGGCACACCGTGCGCAGCGTGCCTCCGTGCACGCGGACGGAGACACGACGTGCCTCCGTCCACGTGTACGGAGGCACACCTGTGCAGCGTGCCTCCGTGCACGCGGACGGAGGTTCGACGTGCCTCCGTCCACTTGGACGGAGGCATGAGATGCCTCCATCCAAGTGTTGCCAAATTGGAAGATGGAGGCATCTCATGCCAAATTGGAAGATCCATGGTTCGTATGAGTCAAATTTTGCGATTGATCCTGAATAATCTTTGACACGTTCACAAATTGGACTATTTATTATATTGATTGGGAAGATTCTGAATAACTGTGATTTGATTGTGGGGTGGGTTAGATGAACTTTCTGCGGCTTTCAAGAAGCATTTTGAGACGTATGGAAGATTGGATATCTGTATTAACAATGCAGGGATTGGGAGTCCAGTTCCATTTGATAAGGATGATACTGATGGTTCTAAATCTTGGAGACTCACCATTAATGTCAATCTTATTGCAGTTATTGATTGCACCCGTCTTGTTGTAAGTTTCTAATCTGCCAGTTGATTGAAAATGAATTTTTTATGCTGTTACTGGGTTGAATTTAAGATTGATTACACCTTTCTAAGTTAAGTGAGTAGTAAATGATTCATGGAGCTTTTAATGTTTAAAGTTTTCTATTTTTCATGCTCAAGTTTATACTTTCGAATGATTGATGATTACTGTGGTAAGAGGACCTTGGAGAGTTGCACCTATAAACCAGATGTGGAGAGAGTTTTTGTTGGTCTGCACGCACAAGAAGTTTCTTTCTCTGGAAATTTTTTTATGTCCATGGATCTTCCAATTTGGCGAAACAGCATATTAATCTTGATTTGTTTGCAGATTCAAACCATGGATCTTCCAATTTGGCATCCACACTTGGATGGAGGCATCTCATGCCTCCATCCAAGTGGACGGAGGCACGGTGCTCTTACAGTTTCTTTTTAGTTGCATTTTTTTTTCAAATTTCTTATTTGATTGTTGACATACGAGTTTTGCGGCTTTAATAATTTAACTCGAAGAAAATGAACTCTAATAATATCTGAAATCATTCGTAAACTGGTAGTGTTCAACCATATATATGCATATTAAATTTGTTGATGCAATAGAGTTTTCAGAAACTGTTCAAATGATCGGTTCCTTGTATGACTTTTGTTTGTTGAGTTCTTTGTTTAAAGAGTCATGCTCTATTATTAATCTTTTATAGAGCTTATTAAAATCTTGATGTATATATGAATGATTTAGACAGAAATTATTTATTGGCACTTAGGGCTGCATTTCTATATTTGATCTGAATAGAATCTACCGCTTGTATTTGGATCTCGTCTGTTCGAATAGAAGAGATGAACACCTCAATTTTTTTTATTCCAACATAAAACGAAATACAGCAGATGGGAATCAATTTATAACAAAAGGAAAGAGGGAAAAATCAAAAACAAACTTAACAAACTATTCTTATTACAAAGAAGGACCTAAACTAATGAAGACGACTAATTAGGTCCTTGAGGAATAATTTGCATAAATTCGGACATCCCCCCCTCAAGTTGGATTTTGATGGAAATCCATCAAACCCAACTTGGAAACTAAGAATCGAAACTGAGGAAGCGGCAAAGACTTCGTGAAAACATCCGCAATCTGAGCACTAGAAGAAACATGCTGTGGAAGAATCAAGCCAGCCTTGTATTGATTATGAACCACATGACAATCAATATCAAGGTGCTTTGTGAATTCATGGAATACCGGATTAGCACTAATGTGGAGAGCAGCCTGGTTGTCACACGAAAGAGGAATGGGATTATGAAGCTCAATACAAAAATCTTGAAGAAGATACGTTATCCATTGAATCTCACAGACGGTCGAAGCCATGCTTCGATATTCAACCTCTGCAGAACTTCTTGAAACTGTCTGTTGCTTCTTCGATTTCCAGGAAATAAGAGAGCCACCCATAAATATGCAGTAACCAGTTAAAGATTTCCTAGAATCTGAACATGAGGCCCAATCTGCATCACAGTAAGCTGCCAATCTGAAATTGTTAGAGGAAAGGAAGAAAAGGCCTTTTGACATAGTCCCTTTAATGTATCGTAATAAGTGCAAAGCTGATTCCCAGTGTGAAGTGGTTGGTGAATTTACGAATTAACTCAGCTGTTGGACTGCATAAGACAAATCTAGTCGTGTAAGATTAAGATACAACAAGCGACCAACAAGCCGGCAATATTGGTCAGGTTGTTGATAAGCGTCACCATCAGCTGTGAATTTATATCCTCTTGGTAGTGGGATATCCACAGGCTTTGATCCCATCAAGCCAGCATCAGTAATGATATCCATAGCATATTTTCTTTGGTTAAGGTATAAACCATCTGAGCATCGAACAATCTCTATCCCCAAAAAATACTTTGCAAGGCCTATGTCTTTAATGGTAAAAGTAGTATCCAGAAAATGCTTGACCTTCTGGATTTCAGCATCATCCGTTCCAGTAATGAGGACATCATCCACATAAACAAGGAGGGCAGTGATAGCAATGTTTGATCGGAGTATGAAAAGGCAATTAACATGTGCAGACTGGGAAAAACCATATAATTGTAAATGCTTACAGAATTTAGAATTCCATTGTCGACTAGCCTGCTTCAAACCATAAAGAGACCGTTTAAGTTTGCACACTTCACCTTCCTTAACTCGCGTGTAACCTTCTGGAGGCCACAAATAAAGCTCCTCATCCAGAAAACCTTGGAAGAAAGCATTATTTATATCCAGTTGATATATAGGCCAATTTTTAGCAGATGAAATGGAGAAAAACAACCGGATTGTCACTGATCTTGCCACAGGTGAAAAACTATCAACATAATCAACTCCTTCCACCTGATTATATCCCTTCGCCACTAGTCTAGCCTTACATCTATCCAGAGTCCCATCAGGCTTTAATTTAGCTTTATAAACCCACTTAGAACTAATGGGAAACTTACATGAAGGCAGGGGAACAATCTCCCATGTTTTATTTTGTTCCAAAGCTGCAATTTCATTTTCCATAGCTTGAACCCATTCAGTCATTGTGCTAGCCTCTTTATAGGATTGTGGTTCTTGGATTATAGATATGTTAGCCAGAAAATGATGATAAGTGGGGTTAAAATTTTCTGATTTATAGAAAGGATATGTATTTGGAGTGTATGAAGAGGATTTCAATGTATCAGACAAGGGAATAGAAGAAGAGTATGACAAATTGCTCACAAAATCTTGCATCCAAATAGGTGCAGTTTTCTGTCTGACACTTTTTCTAGTAGGAGGAATGAACTGGTGATGAGCAATTTGATTTAAGGAGGTATCATCAGATTAAATAACCTTGTCTTGACTGAGTTGATAAGTAGCCGCAGGTTGGTGAACATCAGAAGAATTATCAGTTTGAGGTTGAGAAACACTTTGAATCCAAATAGGTGCAGATTTCTGTCTGACACTTTTTCTAGTAGAAGGAATCATCTGGTGATTGGCAATTTGATTGAAGGAAGTATCATCAGATTGAGTAACCTTGTCTTGACCGAGTTGATAAGTAGCCGCAGGTTGGTTAACATCAGAAGAATTATCAGTTTGAAGCTGAGAAACACTTTGTTTATCAAGGTCAGCAGTCACAGATGAGTCATCTTCATAAGGCAAAACACACATAGGTAAAAGTATATGTGGCTGGAGGTTAGAACACTCTTTATAAGGAAAAATCTCCTCATGGAAAATAACATCACGAGATACAAAAACTTGTTTATTGATGAGATCAAACAATTTAAAACCTTTTTGCCCTGTGTTGTAACCTAACAAAATACACTTGAAACTTCTTGGTGCAAATTTTTCTTTAAACGGTTTTGTGTTAGTGGCATAACACAAACACCCAAAACCCTTCAAATTATGATAGGTAGGCAATTTTTTATGCAAGATTTCATAGGGGGTTTTCCAGTTAAGTATGGCTGTGGGCAGTTTATTTATGATATGTGTTGCCATGAGAATAGATTCTCCCCAAAAATGTTTTGGCAAACTTGACTGAAACATAAGAGCCCTAACAATTTGTAAGAGGTGTTTATGCTTTCTCTCTACGACACCATTTTGCTGAGGCATAAGGGCAGTTTTTCTGATGATGAATACCATTTTCAGCCAAAAAATTCCTAAATTCAAAGTTTGTAAATTCTGTACCATTGTCAGTCCTGAAACATTTTATGTTTTTTTTCAAACTGAGTTTTAACCATTTTGTACAAATTCTTAATCGTAATAAGAACTTGAGTTTTATGCTTGATCAAAAAAGTCCAAGTGCCGTGACTGAAATCATCAACTACCGTTAAAAAATAGTGTGCACCACAGATAGATCTATGTTTGTATGGCCCCCATAAATCCACATGTAAGATTTCAAAAATTTCAGAGGTTTTGATATCACAACTGTTGAAAGATAGTCTATGTTGTTTAGAAAAAGAACAAACATCACACGGCAAAAGGATCTCTTTGTTGAATGAACTCATCATTATCAGATATTTCATAACATTTCCAGAAGCATGTCCTAACCTTTTATGCCAAAGAGTAACCGACTCATTTGTAGTTTTTTTTTTTTCAACAAGAGAAGAATTATTGGAAAAGGAAATATTACAAGCAATGGAAATGAAGTGCTGTATGGTAGATGCACAGAAAGAGGTTTCATCAAGTACGTATAGGTTTTTTATCAGCCTTCCTATAGCTATTATCTCCTTAGTCAATAGGTCCTGCAAAAAGCAATGATCCTTCATGAAAATAAATTTTAGATTTAAGGCTTTTGTTAACCTACTTACAGACAGTAGGTTGAATCTAAAAGTAGGGATGTGAAGAGTATCAGTGAGGATAAGGTTATCATGTAGATGAACATTTCCAAGGTGTTTAACAAAATTTATAGTTCCATCAGGAAGGAAGACAGGAATGGATTTGTTAGTAGGTATAGGATTTTTAAAAAATGAGATATCATTACACATGTGATTGGAGGCTCCAGAATCAACAATCCACGACCTAGATCCTATCAAGTTTGAAGCACTTAGAGTAGAATTAAATTCGAGTTTAAGAGATGAACCTGCAAAATCATCAATATGTGCAAAATTTACACTGCTTCCTGCACCAGTGTTGGTTCCCTTTCCAGTCACCATCTTCCTAAGCTCCTGTTTGACAATTTCTGATATGTTCAGATTTTTGCATTGTTCTTCAATTCCTCCAGTATTTATTTCACTTCCCATCTCTAGTGGTGAATCTGCCATACAAGCAGAAAATCTTCCTCCATATTTCCTCTTTTGCTCACTTAGTTGTTTAAACCAATCCGGATATCCAATCAATTTAAAACAGCAATCTCTGTTATGTCCTGTGGTGTTACAATGTGTGCAAAATTGATTTCTCTTCTCTTCCTTGCTTACATCGAGCTTTCTACCAAATCCTCTGCCGCCTCCAAATCTCTTTGATCCCTGAGTTTTTACATTCATTGCACTGACTTCATTATGTTCACCATAGGTTATCTGAATTTCTCTATGTTTTTCAACCCGTTGTATCATAGAATAAGCTTTGTTTACTGGTGGTAGAAGATCCATGACAAGGATCTGACTTCGAGTGTGTTCAAATTCGTCATTTAATCCCATGAGAAATTGCATAAGTCTGTTAAACAGAGTTATT